TTGCCTACAGCTTGTACACAGCTAGTAAGTGTCTGAGGCCAGACTTGAAGGCATGTCTTCTGAACTCCAAATCTAATGTTCTCTATACACTGGACTACCTAGTTGTCTCATAGAACATCAGAGTTTGGAGGGACCTCAGAGCTAGCTGGAAGAGACCTTTAGCATACTGTACATGACCTTGGAACAAAAGTACAAATGGGAAGGGAGAGGACAATATTAGATCGGGAAGAGACCTTGGTGATAATGTTGTTTAACAACTTCATTTTACGGAGGATGAAAATGAGACCAAGACAAGAAAAGGTGACTTTCCCAAGGTCACACAGTCATGGGTAAAGCCAAAACTAGAACCCTGGTCTCCTGATTTCTAGTGAAAGCCCTCTTTCTACTAAACCACACTTTTCCTCTCTAACATACTTATGTACTGTGTTTTCCGGTTTAAGAGCGAAAGGCATAATGTTTACAAGTTCTTAGGAAACAGTCTTCATTTCAACAGCTGCTTTGATCCAGCTGGTCTGGAGAAGATCAAGGAGAGGCCCATGTCTTGGCTAGGAGGCTGGTTTGGAGCTTCTTCCTAATTCAGCCAAGAAGCAAAGGATGAACAGGATTATTTATTTTCTCAAGCGGTCAGTGCTTATCCTTATCAAAGTATAGGATTAATCAACTCAATGTTTTCTTCCTCTATGCAAGACTCTGTGGGAGATACACAGATGAATGCATCTGTGAGGTAGGAAACACTAAATAACCACCTTCAAAAAAGTAGAAGGCTATCCCCTCACAACAACCCTGTGTGGTAGACAGTGTAATGATTAGTAGTATTACCCCCATTTTACAGATGAGGACACTGAGGTTCAGTAAGCGATTAAATGAGGTCCTCAAGGTCGCACAGCAAGTAAAAGTGCTGGAGCCAGGATATAAACCTGAGTTTTCTTCTCCTTGTCTAGTGGCCATTCTGCTACACCACTTGGGACTAAGACAGTTGCTGCCACCCTTAAGAAGCTAAGACTCTAGTCAATCAGGCAAGACTGAAATATAAATAAAACAATACAATACAGAGCAAAATGAGTGTCAGTGCTTTCCAGGGGGAGATTCCTGTGGGCTGGAGTGACTGGGAGGTAGAGGGATGGGGAGGCTTCCTGGAGCATGTGGGTTTAGAGTTGATTCTTGAACTATGCCTAAATCTGGCTAAGCAATCTGATTCTGCTTCCTTATTAGGACTCTCCTGCTCCACCCCACAGTGTGGACCATGTCTTTCACTTGCCTGTCATTTGGGTCTTAGCACCAAAGAGGGGGATGGGAAGGCGTCTGCACCTGTTCAGAAAACCACCAAAGGGACATAAGCAGCCTGGACTTCCTCAGTCTCGGAGAAAGAGATCCCTCCACAGAACCAGCCTCCCACATTCCTTAAAGCACAAACCAGGGTTATGGGGGTAGAGGTGCAGGACTGCAAAGGAGACCAGAGAAATGAACCCCTAAATAGCTATTTGTTGGTGGTGGCAGCAGCAGACCACAGGTCACAAGGTTAGAACTGCAATCCAGTTCTCTCCTTTTCCAGATTTCTCAGGAAACGGAGCCCTGAAGAAAGGAAGTTACTTGCTCAAGGTCAGTAAGAGAGACAGTTTTGAACCCGGGTCTTCTGACTCCAAATCCAGTGCTATGCCTACATTGTTCTACCTCCTCAATTCTAAATTCTCTTCCTGTTCCAATATTCTGTGCTAAGGCCATTTCCAACTCTAATGTTTTATGTCTTGTGTTCCAATGTTCCCTTTAGCTCCAACATTTTATGTTCTAAGACGCCTCTTTCCAGCTCTAAAGTTCTACGTAAGGGTTCATTCTGTGATCTGTGACCTCTACCTCTGGCTATCCACTGCACAGTTTCAGAAGGAAGGTTTCTATCCTGCCTAATTTACTTATTCCCAGGGGATGAGATCCACTGTTCAGATGCCTCTTTTCATCAGTCTCAGTCTTAGCTTGGCTGGCCTAAATTCAACCACGGGCTCTGACCATACAGAATCTGACCCCTGAATTGTTCTGGATGGAGACTGGTTAAGCAGAACACCCATGAGCTAACTAACCGGGGATATTAACTGCCTGAGAGGACCCAAAGTTTAGATCCTGAGGGCAGAGAGTTTGGAAAGAAACAAGCCTAAAGCTGCTCAAAGACCTACTCCATTCCCTCGTCAGATACACCCTGTCCTTTCCCCAAGGCAATGGCAGCGCCTTGTCCCAACCTGCCCCTCTCCTAGGCCTCATCTCTGAGTTAGAGGCGCAATCACAAAATCCTCCAACGTTACAGTTGGAAGGGGCCTTAGAAATCTAGTCCAATTATGGGTGTGGCGTTACACACACTGCCAGACTCTCTCCTGATGTGCTGGTTAGTTTTCTGAATTGCTTTTTTTCTTTCCTTTTTATTCTTTGTTTGAAAGAATGGCTTAGGGGGTGAGAGGTGGTAAGGAATAGGGGAGGGATATATTTGAGAGAGAAAGAAAGAAAGAAAGAAAGAAAGAAAGAAAGAAAGAAAGAAAGAAAGAAAGAAAGAAAGAAAGAAAGAAAGAAAGAAAGAAAGAGAAAGAAAAAGGAAAAGAGGAAAGACTGAAGGAAGGAGGGAGGAAAGAAGAAAGAGAAAGAAAAGAAAGAAGGGAGAGAAGGAAGGATGGAGGGAGAGAGGAAGGGAAGAAAGGAAAGATGGAAAAAGAAAAAACCAAGGTTCACCTTTACTGCTATTTACTACTTGTGTGACAACTGTAAAATGGAAATAACAATATTTATAGTAACTACTTTATAGGGTTGTTTATAAGGATCACACGACAGAAGGCAGATAAAGTGTTGGGTAAACTTTGTAGTCTGTGCTGCTGTCAGTTATGAAGGCATAGACTGATCGATCGACCTTTCAATCTAAAACATTCAGGGCAGCTAAGTGGCTCAGTGGATACAGCACTGGCCCTGGAGTCAGGAGGACCTTAGTCCAAATCTGGCCTTAGACACTCACTATATGTGTGACCCTGGGTAAGTCACCCACTGCCTCTAAATAAATAAATAAATCTTAAAACAAACTACGATTTCCTAGAGGTGCTTTTTAAACTTCAAAGTAACTAGCACAGGACATAGCCCAAATGCAGGCTCACTTACTGGAGGGCTCAGTTCTAACTTACCAACTTATATCTCCACTGTCCCCTGGGTTAAGGGAGCATCTCACTTATGAAGAAGCCAACCTTGACCACTGTAGCCTTCCTCTTTCTGAAGTCCTATGGCCCAAAAGGTCTGATCTACCCAATCTAAGGCTTGATTAAATAATTTTTAAAGTTATTCTTCAGTAGTACAGTGTGTGAGTTGATCTAGTCAACTAAATGGGCAGTTCCTTAGAAAAAAAGGCCTAGGGACTGTGTGGAAAGAGGCCTGGGAATATGGATCTGCCATTGATACATGTAACCTTGGGCAAAAGGAATAACCTGTCTGGGCCTTAATTTCCCCACCAGGAGAATGAAGGGGTCAACATATCACCTAGAAGATGATGCCACTGAAAGGAGTCAGTAAGCCTATAAACATTTATGAAGTGCTACTGTCCTCAGTGCCTGGGAAGCTCATGGTTTAATGGAGTAAAACAACCAAAGCCATGCTCCAGGTGGCAGCACATTGAGGCCTCATGAGCTACTCCCACAGTGCCCATCTAAGGTGGAAGTAAAACAGCTCTTCAGCAGCCCCACCAAGTTCTTTTACGTTTCAGGGAGATCATGATGGTGACGGATTATTGTGATATACCTTAAGTATTTTGTTAAGGCTCAACAATGAGTCTTTTTGTATTTTAAGCATTTTTCGTGGTGGAGGAAATATATAGTTGCCTTGTGAGGGGTGGTGGGGGAGAAGGGTTGGAACTAAATAATGTTTAAGGTCCTGTGTTTTAACAGTCTAGTTATAGGTTCCCTCACTGCTCTAACCATCTACAATTCCGTAGGGGTACATAGGTAACTCCCTGCGGAATGCCTGGGACAATCCCTGGAAATCAGCCCACCCTGAGCTACCTGGTGACATGTGAGTGCCAGGAGCCCATGTCCAGGGTCACTTTCCTCCCACAGAGGAGGCCCAAGACTTCTCCCCCCATGTGTAAGCCCAAGGAGGGCTTCTCCCCAGGGGCTTGGCATGACCTACAGGAGGGAGAATTGTGCTCATTGTGTCTCCTGAGTCAGCAAGGTCCCAGCCAAATTGCCTGAAAAGCTCTCTGTCCATCAGTTGTGTTTTCTCTTAGCCTAGGTTTTCCCTAGGGGAGTATAGATTGTCCAGTATTCCCAAACTCTCAGCAGGGGTGGCCATATTGAAATAATCCAAAGAGGAGGACAGGGTTAGGTCTAGAGACAGCCTGTCTCCCCCTAACTCCCCCCTCCTGGTGCAGGGAAACTATAATCAGCTGCCCCATTCCATGGGACCCTGGACACAGCTGCAGCTCACATTCTCACTGACCTGTCCCTTGGGCAAAAGGGCTGTGGAAACAAAGAGGCTGTTTGCCAGGAACATAAAGCTCTCCAGGGGAAAGACTACAAGTGGTTATTCTTGGGATGGAGCCTCAGGGTCAAGGTTGTTACTATTTTCCGGCTCTGTCTTCAGACAGCCTAATCCATGGGCTCATAAGGCCTATCTGGCACAATTTCAAATGATTTGAGTCAATTTCATATCAAAATGGACCTTCATTCCAGATCCCCTTATTTTCCATGTGGGAAAAATTGAGCTGCAGAGAGCAGAAATGTCTTACCTAATTGGGAGTCCCAAAGTCTTGACTTCTAGTTCCAAGTTCTTTCCATTGTACACACCCTCCTAAGATATCCTTTCCTTTAAGGGCTGTGCCTTACACATAAAGATACATTCCCATAGAAAAGATAACAGGAAAGACAGACACTACTCAGGCCTGTGATGTAGATGCCATGACGTAACAGAACAAGATACTCATCTTCATCATCATAATAGGTTTGAAATCTGGATTTGAATCTCAGCTCTTCTCCTTATCACCAGTGTGACCTTATCTATGACACAACCTCTCTCAACTTCCAGTTTCCTCCTTTCTTCAAATGAGTATATTGGGCTAGATATCTCTGAATTTTAAATTCTCTATGGAGCTGTAACTACAGTGGGGTGAACAAGGTTATAGCTTAGGGTTGTAAAACACTGAGAGGTATGTTTTATCTATTAACAGCATTTCTTCAGCCTTCTGTCTCCAAGCCTTAGTCATCTACCCACCCCTATATGGGTCACAACCCCCTTTCCCTGGCCTAGATCCCTTGGAGATTGAGGGAGGCCAATGTAGCTGGGTCTTCTTCTACTGGCACACCCTCTCTGCTTCCTCCTGGGGTTTCAAAAACCTATATTCATTGGTTGAGCCAAAGGGTACAGGCTAAGTTTTCCCTCTACAGTAAACTGCATCCAACTGGGAGAGGCCATGGACTGTCATGAAAGCTACTGGTGGCACAATGAAGGTGAAAGCTGAGGTGGGACCACGAAGCCTTCCCAGATTCCAAATGAGCTCCTCCTCTGTTCTAGCCCAACCTGTTTCCTCTTAGCTACAACCTCTCCAGCATCTGACTGAGCTGCCTTTCTTTTTGTGGTACTGATATATTCTTTACCTTATTTTCTAGGGCCTTGCTGTCAGATGAGTGGGATCACAGGATCACAGGTCATAAGATCACAGGGTCATGGTTTGAGAGACAAAAGGGACGTTAGAAGTCATCTCATCTAACCTTTCCATTTTACAGTTGAAGAACTGAGGCCCAGAGAGATTAAGTGACTTACTACCAATGGACAAATGGGCAGTAAATTGCAGAGTCCTCCAACCCCCAAATCCAGCATTCTTTATACTATACAACTCTTGAGAAGATAATAAGGTGCTGGTTTAAAAAGCTATTTACTAATACCTAAGGTACCCGCATTTTTTAATGGAAGGACTTTAGGCACCAGAAATGCTTTGAAGTCCCAACATAATGAAGTTCTAATTGTGAAATTTTAGGCAAGAGAGTATATGTATGTATGTATGTATGTATGTAAGTATATGTAATATGTGTATATGCATATATGTAATATTACATATAAAATATATCACATGTATCTTTTCTGTCAGCAGGTGGAGGATTGGGTTGATGTGAGGGAGGGAAGGGACAGATTTTTCTACAGAAATGTTTGAGCTACAAGGGACTTTAGGACAAAAAACATAAAAGGTTGGATCATTTTGTCCAATCCCCTCATTTAAAAAACCTGCTAAATAGGTACCAATGTCTCCCCAAAGATCAAAGGAGATTCACTGGGAGCCTGAATGAGATCTAAAGGTTACCTTAAACATGGAAGTGAATGAAAAAACCTGTGGGCTAACATTACAATAGGCAAGGATACCGAGAGCGACTCAGGGGAGGAGCAAGAAGTCAAGATTGGTTCTTGATTAAGGCCTAGCAAGAATCCCGTATTTATTTTATTAAACGCTATTCTTTCCTAAGTACTTTCATATTCATTGACTCATTTGATACTCACTGCGGAGCCAGGATAATTTTCTCTCTTGGATGAAGAAACTGGGGTTAAACAACCTGTTAAATGTCCACTGCTAGCGAGTGGCAGTTAAGCCTTAGAATCAAGCAAGTATTTATAAATTTAAATTTAATTTGGATTAATAATTAAAATTAAATTTAGATTAATAATTAAAAGTATTAATAAATATTAAGCAACTTCTGTGTTCTAGGCATTGCAGATACAAAGAAAGAGAAAAGCAAAATGGTCTCTACTGTCCATTACTTTGCAAGCCAGCCTCTCAGTTTCCTGCCTTCTAGTGCAGGGCTGGTTTCTACCTGTTCTACAGAACATCAATACCAAATGGTCCTTACGCTGTTTGAGCTTCTGTCCTTCAAAATAATGACTCCTGGGTCTTCCATTCATGTCTCAGATGTCCCATCTGTAAAATGGGCATATACTGTAGTACCTTGAGCCCATAGGAAGGCTCATTAAGTCAGAAATCCTATATGAGAAATGTCCCTTGGAGAAAGGAATTTAGATTGGTGTAACAATACTTAATATCTAGTGTAGTTGTGGTACTGTCTTACTATTTTGTGAGCCTCCACTTCCTCCTCTGTAAAACGAGAGAACTGGCTGCTCTCTAAGGCCTTTCCCAGCTCTAAAGTTCTGTGCTTCTTCGTTTTAAGGTCCCTTCCAGCTCTAATGGTCTATGTTTCTTTTTTGTAGAGTTATAACGAGAAATGAAAATTTATTTTGCATGAGTGAGGAAGAACGGGACGCTACCTTCAGCAAAAGGCCAACAAGCCTCTTTCTGCCTTAGGGGCTGAGAAAATTGGTGAGATTAATCTCCACAATGCCTCAGCTCCAAGTTTCCCACATGGCTGACCACTGAAAATGCCTCAAGCCACAGAAGAAGGAAAGAGAAGACAAGTAAGTGTAGTGGGCTGCTGCCTAGTTATAGGATTACTGGGATCATGAGAAGGCTCCTAAGCCCAAAACATCCTTAATATCCTCCCCACCCCTCTCCAAGTGGTGGCTGGAATGCCAATATTCCATTTCATCCACTTAGCTCAAAGCCTGGTACCTAAAATGGGGTTCTACCATACATCTGAATTTGAATGAATTTAGATGCTTCCTGAGGATACATCTGATAAGGATTATTATCATATTATTATAGCATTTATATGCTGTACTTTAAGATTTACAGAGCTCTTTACAAATATTATCTCATTTTATCCTCACAACCCTGGAAGGTGGGTGCTATTATTATCCTCATTTTACATATAAGGAAATGGGCAGAAGCCAGTAGTGCTTGGGCTAAGATTTGTACTCAGTCTTTCCATCTTCAGGTACAGCATTCTGTCCACAGAGCCACCAGTTGTCTTGGTAACTGAAAGTTATGGAAGGAAGAAGAAAGACAAAATTTGAGAGCTCTGAAGACCTGAGAAGCAGCCTAGTATGGCTGAAGAACAATGAAGAAACCTAGGTGAGTCTCCACTCTATAAAATGAATGCTGGGCCTTTAAATATCTGGTTCCAACTCTGACAGAACTGGAAGGGGTTTCAGGTGTCATTAAGTTCAACCCCTTCATTTTAAATATAGGGAAACTGAGGCCCAGAGAGTCACAAAAGGAGTTAGTGGACAGATAGTATCTTTCAGGGAGATCTGCATTTTAATGCAATCATGGAACCATAGGGTTTTTGAGTTGGAATGGATTTTAGAGATCATCTCAAGTGGTAACATTGGGCCTGCAAACTTCAAAAAAAATACACATTTTGATAACTGTATTGCTACAGAAGTTTTTTGTATCATCAGTCCCATGTATCTTACACATTATTCTGAGATGGCTTCACCAGCTTGCCAAACGGGTCCAAGAAATGGAAAAAAGAACCATGATCTAAACCAATGACTTTCATTATACTGATGAGGAAACTGAGGCTCAGAGAGGGCAAGAATCTTGCCAATCTAATAAATGACAGAGTGAGGATTCTAACCCAGATCTTTTGACTCCATGTCTAGTTTTCTTTCCTCATACTGCACTATCGCCTAATCCAGAGGACTAAGGTTCTGGTGATGGAGATTTCAGACAGAGAAGTGTGAGATTTCAGTCAAGCCTTTCCAGAGCCCCTCAAAACCATCCTGCCTGTGCAAGAGTCCAGCCACAGAGATGGGCACAAAGTAAGCACTCAATAAACTTGTTGACTGAGAGCCTAGTTGGCCAAGAAAACATGCAGCACAGGTCCTAGCCGGGGAAGGGAGATCTCAACTAGGCCCCAAAGGTTGGCAGTGAGTCTGCTGTGCAAAAGGCATTCAAGCCAGCCAGCGACCTCCTTGCATTTATTTGGAGTTGCTTTTCTTTCCTCCCCATCTGCTTTCAAAAAACAGCTGAATGGCTTCAGTCTTTAGACCTATTCCTGGCCGACACCTCCCCCACCCACACACCTCCCCCCTTCGCTCACACTGCAGCCAAACTGTGGAAAGACAGAGAATAGAGCCATGGGGACCAGCTGTGTTTCACTCCCTCTCTGGCCCCTGACTGTTCTGACCCTTCCCTCCAGTGATTCAAAAGGGGGAAGGGGGTGGCTGATTTGGGCCAACCGGGATTTAGACTCACCAATCTCCCCACTACCTACCCCAATCACACTAAAATATCAAATGGGTCCCAGCGTGGCAGGGTGAACAGAACACTGGCCTGGGAGTCAGAAGACTTAAGTTCTAGTTAGTTGGATACTAAGCCTCTATGTGACTTTGTGCAAATCACTTTCTACTTCTCAGTGTCCTCCTCTAGAAAATGAGGGAGGGCTACACTGATGGACTACGTGAGTGCTAACATTCTGTTCCATTTTCTAGGATCTAAGGCCTCTTCCTGCTCTGTTTTATGTTCCAAGGTTCCTTCTACCTGTAACATTCTACAGTAGCTCTATGTTCTAAGATCCTTTCCAGCTCCAACATTCTGTTTTAAGGTCTTTTCTAGCTCTGATAGTCTACAAATCTATGGTGGGGAAGAGAAAAGGGGTGTGTCTAAATCCTTGTGCCTAAAATGAAAACTGTTTTGCTCAACAGTTCTAGTTACATCAATGTTCAGAGCAATTGGACAGGTCAGAGATTGTTATCCTTACTTTAGATATGAGGTCAACATTAGAGGGTGTGACTTGCCCTAGGTGACAGCTACTAACTAAGAGTGAGAATCAGTTTTCACACCAAGGCTCCCTTAATTTCTCCCTTTCCTAATCATAGATCACAGCATTTATAGCTGGCAAGGGCATCAGAGACCATCTAGTCCAAGTTTTACAGAAGAAATCCTTTTACTAAGGGGATTTGTTCCGTGAAGTTGGGATTCGGTCAAAGGGCCACACCTGAGGACCTAAAGGGCCACATGTGGCCTCGAGATCGCAGGTTCCCCATCCCTGATCTAGACCAATCCCTTCATTTTATAGACAGACATGTCTGTCCTGAAAGGCTGAGGCTTGCCTAAAGGCAGAAAGCGGTAGATCTAAGACTCAAATCCAGGGCTCTTTCCACCACATAAGGCTGCATGGAGTGACAACCTTGCCGGGAAGAGGCCTGCACTGCTAAAGTGGTAGCCCCTCAGGGTGGACTTGAACGGTGATTCTCCCTATTCTCCCCCCACGGGCCTCTCAGTCCTACCACCTTCATTCTCAGTGCATTAATCCAGAATACTCTCATGAAATGGAAATACAGGAGGGTCTTAACTGCTGCCTTGTTCCCTACTCCAGTTTGCACCCCCCACCTAGTAATTAGAGGCCAGAAAAGCCACAGCCATGTAGACAACACATACCTCTGGCTACCTTTTTTTATCCATACTAAGCCTCCAGTATCAGAAACAGTCCAAGGTCACACTGCCTCCCATTTCCCACAAGTGGGTGGGGTACCTTTCATTGGTGAAACCATTTCAGACTCCAAAGGCAAGTGGCTGGGACAGGCAGCTCCAAATGGAATGACACTCCCCAGAAATTATAGGCCCAGCATGACAGGCAAGTAGTTCTAATTGGGAGAGTGGTGATGAGTGAGGGCTGAGATACAGAGAACAACCCCCTTTCTTTCTCTTTTCAAAACCACTCAAGCCCAAAGTTCGTCAGCAGACGGAGGAGGAAGGATGTGCCCCCATTAGTCCCCTTCACACTGTTCTCTGGAACACAGAGTAATGAAGATGGTTTCCTCTTTTCTCTATCCAGGGCAATGCTGGCACACAGAGGGTCAGTCTCTGGCCAAACAGTGGCTGAACACAACACAGCTGATGGCAGAGCTGGCAAAAGATTCACCACGTCACACAAGAGTGTGATTCTACACAAGATCCATGAGATTACTGGCCACAACTGTGTATGACTCAGACTTTGTTCCAAGCTCCGAGACATCAGGAGCCCCCTCCCCTAGTGAGATCCAGATTCTTTCCGGACCAGAAATAATAGTGACCTGAAATCAACACAATCTAGACAAAAGGCATTTTTATGAAGCAGTTGCAAAGATCCCACACATTTCTCCAGGAGAAAAGGGTTAAAAGTAGCTAGGGCTGGTTGTTGTCAAATGGTCAAAGGGAAAGACTGGCAGTTTGGAGGGCTTTGCGTCACAAGGTATTGCCTAGAGGAGGCACTACAGAATGGTCCAGTTTATTATCGTATTCTGCAGAAGGTCCAGGACTCGCAGTAGGGAAGGCCTAGGTTCGGATTCTGCCTCTGATGCTGGTAGTGTCACTGCGAGCAAGGTGCTTTCACTTTTCTGAAACTCAACCTCCTCATCATTAAATGGTGCCAATTAATATCTGAAGTGCCTACCTCATAGGGTTGTTGGGAGCCTTAGATGAGATAATGTCAGTAAGTGCTTTGCAAGCTTGAAAATGCCATATAAATATCTGGTAGTATTATTATTATTACCCCTTTTAACTTCAGCCATATTAGTTTTGGCTCACTGTTCTAACCTGTACAGACACATTTGGATCTTGACTCATCTATCCTTTTGAACTATCCATCCCAACTTTGTCATCTGCAGACTAAGTGGGCCACCTGTTTTCATCCAAGGAATTACCAAAAATATTGACTAGAACAGAGCCCACGCCAGTCCCTGAGGTGCACCACTAGAGACTCCTCTCCAAGTTAACATCTATTCACCACTGAGTACATAAGTCATTAACTGTGGTCATCTACTACTTCTTAATCCACCTGACTGTATTTTAATCATACAATCCATCTTGATCTCAAGGATGTATGGAGAGACTTTGTCAAATGCTTAGCTGAAATCTAGGTGTTCCCCAACCTGCCAGTAGAAAAAACCCTGTCAAAAATGATTGTTCATTCACTAAGCAATAGGTGGTCATGAACAAACTGCAGCAGAGGAGTGGAAGGGAACTCGAAACCATGCCAAAAGAGCTGAAAAAACCAGCAATGCTAGCCTGGAGAAGAGGAAACAAGAGAAACTTCACAGAGTTGGATTCAAAGTACTGTAAGAGCTATCATGTGGAAGAAGCACGAGACTCGTTCTGCCTGGCCCCAGAAGATGGAATGGATGGAACAGGACAAACAGGTGAACGTTGCAGGAGATTTTAGCTTAATGTAAGGGGGAAAAAAAAAGGTTTGAGAATTAAAGTTACCTAAAGTGGAATGCACTGCTTCAGCACAGTGAGCTCACTGGAAGTTTTCAAGTACAGACTGACTACCTTTTGTCAAGGACACTACAGAGAGGATTCTTGCTCACACACTTACTGGTCTTTGAGTTTCCTTCTAACTCTAAGGTTCTGTGCAATCTTTTTTCCTGCTACATGTGAGGTTGGGGAGTAGAACCCAGGGCTGTTTAGAGTTGGATGAATAAATTACAAAAGATAAAACCGATCATTGGGATGACATGAAACTGAAAAGCTTCTGCACAAACAAAATTAATACATCTGGGATAAGAATGAATGTGGCCAAGGGCAAAAAAAAAAGTTAGTATCAAATTTCTTAAGATAATATTTTGGTATCTAAGGTAATATTAAATAACTAACAGATACACATGGTGTGCCAAAAGTCTTAGTGTAGTTTCCTGAAACCGCATTAAGATTTTTGGAAGGTGCCACGTTAAAGACCAAAAGCCATTTCCCAATGCATATGTGGTCAAAGGATGGGAACAAATAGTTCTTAAAAGACTCACCAGCTCTTAAGAGTCACGTGAAAGAAGGCTGTGAAACATTAATAATAAAATAAATGCAAATCAAACAACCCTTGATTTGACTTCATATCCAGTCAATTGGCAAAGATGACAAAAGACGGGAATAGTCAATGCTGGAGAGGTTGTGGGAAGATAAGCACACTAGTGCATTTAGTACAACCATTGTGGAAAGTATTTTGGAATTATACAAATAAAGTGACTAAAATGTCCACTCTCTTTGACCCAGAGATTTTCCTATACCAAGGAGGTCACAGATAAAAAGAAAATTTCAGTATACACTAACATATTTATAGCAGCACTTTCTGTGATTGCACAGGACTGGAAACAAAGCAGATGTCCGATGAATGGGGAACAGTTAAATAAATGATAGTACATGAATTAATGGAATATGTCTACCTCGTAAGAAATTGAGTATGATGAATAAAATAAAGCATGGAAAGACTTAATCGAACTGATACGGAATGAAATCAGCAGAGGCAAGAAAACAATGTATACGATGACTATAACACCACAAATGGAAAGAAGAATCACAAAACAATTGAAAGCGATTATTTTAAAATTACAAAGAACAAGAATGGCCCCAAATTAGAGATATGAGAACTCCTACTCCTCTGAAGAAGTGGGAGGTCTGTGGGTATGGAACATCGCATATAATTTCTGATTTTTTTAAACACATTGATCAGTTTTGCTGATTTTTTTCATTCCTCTTTTTAAAAATGTACTTTGTTATACAGAATAGCTTTATTATGAGAAGGAAGAGATGGGGAAAATTTAAGCAAAATCAACAAAAACTGATTTTTTTTTAAACTAGATGAATAAATTCCTAAGCTACATCACCTGGAGGGATGTCTGACACAGGCATGCTGATTCCCTGGGATAAGGAAGCTACAAAAGGAACCACACAAGTTCTTCTAGTTAAATGCATCATTAAACACTTATCAAGGGATGGACCTAAAACAGTCACTTCTAACTGATCAGTGTTTGGCTGCTTTACTTTACTAGGCCTTAGTTTTTCTACCCGACTAGAGATGCTGCTCATAATAGGCAGAACCATGAGGGAAAAAAGACCCTGGCTCTGGAGTCAGAGGACCTAGGTTCAAATCCCACCTTTGACATTTATTATCTGTGCTATCTTGAGCAAGATACTTCAACTTCCTGGGCCCTAGGCTTTCTCTTCATCTGTAACATGTAGGATTGAACTAGATGGCCTCCCAGCTCCCTCCTAACTCTTGATGCTATGAAAATGAGGGGGTTGGAGAAGATAAGATGAGGGTGGATTTAGGGTAAGGGACCTATATACTAAGAGGAAAAGGATTGGATTAGGTCTCCAGAATCCCTTCCAGCTCTATTTTCTCCCTCCAGCTGAGAGCTTAGATAACCAAGCTTATGCTAGTTACAGAAATGACCATGACCCACCCAGGACCTGGGGAAGCAGAGCCAAGGGATTGTGGTAGGAAACCAGACCCTTCATGAAGGGACAGATGGAGCAGAGGGGCTGAGGACAACAGATCAAGTGAAGATCTCGAATGACCACCAGCTGGGGAAGCCAAGGTCAGTGTCTCCTCCGTCCCAGGATGCCTCCCGAATGAGCCAGGTACCCTAGTCAGCAAAGTGGAAAAATACCACTAGCCATGTGGATAATTCCCCCAAACAACTGTTCTGCAGGACCTCTGGAAACTTCTCTAGTGCTAAGCTGAAGGAGCCTGCCCCCTGGTGACCAAGAGAGGGACTGCTATATGGAAGAAAGGTCTGGCTTGCTCCACTTGGTCCCAAAAGGGCACTGCCTAATGGTGGGGAAGGTATTTGAGAAGACAGATTTCAGCTCCATGTAAGGAGAATTTCCTAACAATCTGAACCGTCCAACAACGGAATGAGTTCCCTCAGGAGATAGTGAGCTCAAGCAGAGGATGGGACGAGGAAGGAATTCTGCTTAGTTACAGGTTACAATAGATCCCCTTCCAACTCTCGAATCTATGAACCTAAGGGCCGAGGGCTTAAGGTTCTTAAAAATAAGGCAGGAATCAGGAACGAACTATAACTGTCTTTCAAGGCCCAGCTTAAATCTGCCCCTGACATAAAGCATCCCCTGACGACTCCAGCCTGTAACGTACAACGCTCAGTAGGTACTTATGGTTTTGAACATTTACCTTACCGGCTTGACCATATACCTCCTTTTGCCTCAAATTTGACTCACACAAACTCATGTGTGATTGTTAATCAGTAAATAACCGTATTATTCATCTTTCCAAGAGTCTAGTGTGGTAGATATATTCTGTCTCTATAAGCTCCTTGAGGGCAGGCTTCGTAATGTCTCCTTCTGTTTCTCCTCCTTACCTCGAGTGCTGAGCACAGCACACAGACGGTGCTTAATGCCACTTGCCCTACTTGCTTTCAAAGGATGGCTGTATCATGGAGCTCCATGTGTCGGTAGGAACCTCTCCTCCCCTGCTGCCTCTCATACCTGTGATATTAAAAGGGATATATTCCCTCACACTGGGGTTATCTCATCAGGGACATGAGAAGGCTCCTACAGCCCAGTAGGAGACTGCCATCCAAATGAAGCTTGTGGAAAGGCCTAGGCAGTTCCTTAGATTGGGTGGGCCCACTGGGCATGAGGGACATTTCGGAGCTATCAGAAGCCCAATCTGTGGGGCCAAATTCAGGCAGCCACTAACTACTTTCCATATGACTTCGACCAGCTACTCAAACTCAGGTTTACAAATGTCCCAGCTACTACAAGAACCCAGCGCTCTGCCCCACTGTGCATCCATTTATGATATTCTCTGTGGTTTTTGGTTTGAGAAGCAGTTCTACCATTGGGTCTGTACAATCCAACCCAAGGGAACCACTCATCACCTAGCGGCAGCTACCGGGACTACTGCTGGCATATTACTGAGAAAGATGGGGGCAGCTAGGTGGGGCAGTAGATAGAGCACCAGCCCCGGAGCCCAGAGAAACTGTGTTCAAATTTGCCCTTAGATACTTACTAGCTATGTAAGTCCTCTCTTCCCCCACCACCTACCCCACAAAAAAAAAAAAAGAGAAAGAAAGAAAAATGATTTGTCTCTTATTGGCTGCTGGTTGCAATGAAGCCCTTCACACAATAGCAAAAATCACCATCTCCACGTTTCCCCAAAAACTCCTTGCTAACTCCTTGCTCCCATTGCAGAGGAAGCGGCTGCCTTGCAGCAGAGGCCATACGGTGGGGTTTTGGAATCCTGGGACAGAGGAGACATTGACCTTGAATTCTCTCTTCTCTCTCTTTCTGTTTCCTTCCTCCCTCCCCCAGTCCTCTCCCCACTGCTTGTGGAATGATTGGACAGGATTGCAGTGGCAGAGGGCCTGAAATCCCATCGTTTCTGTCGCTGGGGACAGCCTAGGGGAACCAAAGATGCAGAGAAGAACTCTTTTCCAGCAAAAACCAGCTCCATTTTATTAAAGGGTGGCAAAGAAAGAGAGACAGTGAGCCGAAGGGCTCTCCCGGAACACTGCGGGCTCCCAGTCACTGATGCGCTCTTTCCTCTCTTTCCTTTCCACTCCCAGGTCTCCCCTCCTTCCCATTTCTGGCCAGAATGGGAGCGGACGGATCCTGGGGAGCCTGTCATTCGGGCTCCTGCAAGCAGAGGAAGGAGAGGGAAAGTTAGGCAGGACAGGGGCTCCCCCTGCTGTGGGCAAAGCAACATTACAGGACAGCAGACTTGGCTAGTCTCCCCTCCACCTCCCACCAAGAGGACGGCTGTGGACAGTGGTCCACTCTCATCTGGATTTCTTACACAAGCACTTACTCATTAGTTCAACCAACAAATACTTACTGAGGGCCTCTGTGTACAGCACTCTTCTGGGCACCGGGGAGATAAGAAGGGTAGCGTACAGCCTACACCCCCAGGGGGACAAAGCAGTAGAACCCTAGACCTGGGAACCTGACACCTGTGTCTACAAACACTATATATACTATCTGCAAAACACAAGACAGTACTGCATACAGCTATGCTTCGTTCTGTAAGTAAGCAGAAATCTAATCCAGCCACTTCACCTTATACTTTTTACAAGCTTATGAGGCAGCTACGTGGTGGCCCAGTGGATAAAGTACAGGATCTGGAATCAGAAAGACTTGAGTTCCCATCACAGACGCTAGCCGTGTGAAGTCACTTAATCTTTTCCGTGCCTCAGTTTTCCTTCTCTGTAAAATGGAGATAATAATAGCTACCTGCCTCCAAGGGTTGTTATAAGATCAAGTGAGATACTCTGCAACACATTTTGCAATTTTAAAGTGCTACGTAAATGTTGCTGATGACGATGATAATGATGATGATGGTGGAACTCTCCATAATCCACAGGTATTCATCCCACCATCTTCACAGAGGGTAACATTAAACTCAGCAGAAGATATAATCTCCAGGATGGATTTTCGTCTCTTTTTCAGGACGTTGGTGGCTAGTATGGAAATATGTTTTGCACGATTTCATGCGTATAATCTATATCAAATTGCTTGCCTTCTCAAGGCAGGGAGAGAGAAAATTTGGAACTCAAAATAAAAAAAAAATGATAAAAAAAATCTTCACCTAATTGAGAAAACAAAAAGGGGTGAAGAGAAAGAAGCATGGATCGGGGCACACCTAACACTCATCTCGAAGGAGAAAGACAAAAGTCCACACTGGAGATTCTATTTTGTGCTCAGTTCAATGTTACCATCTGTGAAGATAGTGGGATGAATACCTGTGGGTCACGAAAGTTCTGAAGTCAGGAGACCAGGCTAAATCCACGCTCTTCTAGTCACTAGCTTTGTGACCTAGGGGTAAGTCACTTGTATCTCCTAAGCCTCAGTTTTCATCATCTATAAAATGGTAATAATAACCCATGGCCCACTAACCCCATAGGACCACTGTGAGGAAAATATTTTCTAAACCATGAAGCATCAACTGTTATAACTAGTACTGTAAGCCAAAAGAAGGTGGCGAAAGAGGCAGAAAGGGTCAACTTGCCTTCTAGCTCTCAACCTCTAGACCACTGACAGGGCTTGGGGCAAGTCCTCCCTTCTGCTGGGGAGCAATGCGGGTGGGCTGTTCCCAGAGCCCAGCGCCTGACTGACCTGTCCCCTCTGCATCCTGCTGCTGGCCAGAGGGTGGAGCTTCCTGCTACTTGGTCCCAAGGTAGGTGGTGGCCTTCCCCGTTTTCTTCAGTGTCTCCAGCAGCGTTTCCACACTATGCTCTGAATCGATGCGCACTTTCTTGTTGGGCAGGTCGATGTCAAACTGGACCCCTGCCGAGGGGTGGGAGGGAAGAACAATAATCAGAGCTCCCCTTCCTAGAGTGCTGCACAACTCACACGGTACATGCTCTTGACAAATACCCCATGAGATAGGTAAGGATAATTTTATTCTCACTTATAGGTAAGAAAACTGAGGCTCAGAGAGGGAAGTGACTTGCCCAAGGTCACACATATTATACACAAAGGCAGCCTATGACAGTGAAAAAGCACTGGACTGGGAGTCAGGAGACCTGGGCACTAGGACCAACTCTGATAACTTACTGTGTTATTGTGGGTATGTCATTTCCCCTCTTTGGGACCTGTTTTTCTTTCTTTTTTTTTCTTTTTTTTTGGTGAGGCAAATGGGGTTAAGTGACTTGCCCAGAGTCACTCAGCTAGTGAGTGTTATGTGTCTGAGGCTGGATTTGAACTCAGGTCCTCCTGACTCCAGGGCCAGTGTTCTATCCACTGTGCCACCTAGCTGCCCATTTTTCTTTCTTTATAAAATGAAGGAGTTGGAAACTGATCATCTCTAATGTCTATTCCAGGTTTAATCGTCTATCATAACTCCAGGACCCTCTAAGTCTCCCAATCCAGTGCTCTCTTATTCCATTCTTCTTGTGAGAAACGCCACTAAAGGAGGGCTTCCACTATCTTTCTCTGGCACCTTTTAAGCCAACATTTTGCTCTCCTCTCAAGGCTGACATTCCGTGATTCCCCTCTTCTGTTTGTTTTTCCCCCCACCCACCACGGTCTACTATTGTGCTCCCACATCATCCCTACTGACTGAGGGCTGCCAACACTGCCCACTGGCAGTTAGCTGGTGCAGTGGTTAGAATATGGGAGTGGGAGTAAAGAAGACCTAAGTTTGAACTGCGTCTCAGACACTTACTAGCAAGGTGACATGTGCAAGTCAACCAAATGTTCTCTACCTCCGTTTCTCATCTACACAACAGGGCTAAAAACAGCACCAATCTCTCAGGGCTGCTGTGAGGACAAATGACAAAACACAGGTAAAGCAATGTGCAGACTCTGGAGTACTACATAAATGTTAGCTAGTGTGCTTGTTTCTCCGTTCCTCTCACCTGGCAGATTGGGATCTGCTGACTCAAACTTGCCCCGGCTATCTATTGGCCTTGGGTTGCTGATTCAAGTATGGAATTCAATTCAACAAGAATTAAGAACCCGGGTGAAAGGCACTGTAGGAATTACTGGGGCAAAAACAAAACTGGCCCTTCCCTCAAGAAGTCTACATTCTCCCAGGTGGAGAATACAATATATACACAAAGAAGTAAATTCAAAGTAATTCAAAATAATTTTAGGAGGGAGAGAGAGCTTAAAACCAGGGCAGATCAGGAAAGGCCTCATGTAGGAAGGGGCTACCTTAGCTGTGCTCTGAATAAAGAAAGGGATTCTAAGAGGCAGAGGTTAGGAGGAAGTGCATTCCAGATGTAAGGGACCACCTGTACAAAGGCACTTAGGTGAAGATGAAATGTCACGTATAGGGAATAGTTAGAAGCTCTATATTAAATAAGACTTGAAAAGCAGATGGGACTCATAGCTTTAAATGCTAGGATGAATATTTCGTATTTTATTTTAGAGACAAAAGAGATCCATTGAAGATTTTTTTTTAAGTAAAGGAAGTCACAAAGGTCATATGCATGGTTCAAGAGCATCAAGCATAGACTGTAGAGAAGAGAACCAGGCAAGGACGTGAGGATGTGGACCTGAACTAGGCCAAAGGCTGTGTGAGTGGAGAAAACGGGAGATATGCAAAAGAAGTGGAACTGATGAAACTGACAGAGCACGGAGGGAGGGAAGGAGGGAGGGAAGAATTGAGAATGATTCCGAGGCCATGAACCCAAGGGACTAGAAGGACAGTGAGAAAAGAATTCAAGAGATTTCTCTTGATTCTGAGAAAACAGAGGAAGTCTGGAGACAGGATAGAGGGAACGAAAATAGGTTCCATTTGGAATATACCGAGTTTGAAATGCTGGTGGCATATTCTGGAAATGTCAAACAGGCCATGGATAATTTGAAACTACATTTCAGAAGAGAGGGTAGAGCAGAATACAGACATCTGGGAGTCATATTTGTATGTGTGTGTGTGTGTATGTGTACGTACAACTCTCCCCAGGACTTTTCAGCAGGACACAAACAGCAAAAGAGAAACTGGATGGTGGGGGTTACCTAAAGCTGCAAAGCCTGACTAGCAAAAAGGATAAGAGGACAAAGGTCAGGACACTGGGTCAAAGCATGTGAAAGGACAGAAATGAGACCAGAACAGGGATGATAGATGAATGAAGAAAACAAGGAGATGGGGAGGGACTGGAGGTTACAGTGCAGATGAAGTATCGGTTTAGGAGGAGTGAGGCAGAGGGAGAGATGGAAAAGAGTTTGGAGTTCTGGATCAAGGAAGCTGAATAGTTGCGTCAGAGCACGGGGCCGCGTGGAGCAGAGGCGGGAGGCCAGGGACTTGAGGGGACATCGCCATGTCCACCGAAGTCCCCAAATATGAGCACAGGGTTTAGAGTACTGTGATCCAGGGATGGAAAAGGCTTGAGAATGACCAGGAGACTGGTAGTTGACTGCCAAGGAATTCTGATATCCCAGCAGCAGAGGAAAAATAAGATGGCCATTAGATCCTTGTGGGCAGGGCTGAACTTACCCACTTGGTGCTGCCCTCTCCAAAGTGCTCCACATGATGCAGGCACCCAGTTCCCAAACTCTGAGATCCTGAAAGCAGATAACCTCTGCGCTTTGCTTCTTCTCTCTCCCTGCCAGCAGCGCCCCTGGGACTCTCCATGGTCTGAGGATCAGGATTTGCCACAGCTTAGCCTCCCCTCTGGAGGTGCCTGGATGCTGAGGTGCACCAGAGGAAGCACCCCACTTCCTCTGACTTCCAGAGGCCAGGACCTCTTATAAAATGCTGTTATTCAGTCGTCTCAGTTGTGTCCACCTCTTTGTGGCCCCATTTGGGGTTTTCTTGGCAAAGGTACTAAAGAAGTTTGCCATTTCCTTCTCTAGCTCATTTTATAGATGAGGAAACTGAGGCAAACAGGGTTAAGTGACTTGCCCAGGGTCACACAGCTAAGTAAACGTCTGAGGCTGGATATGAACTCAGGAAGATGAACCTTCCTAACTCCAGGCCCAGCACTCTACCCACTACACCACCTAGCTGTCCTCTTATAGTATAGAAAACAGGACACACCTGAGAAACTGTTAAGGCAGCATCTGTTAACAAAACAGACAAATGAGATTATTTTCAAGAGACCTCAGAGAAGTGCTCAAACTAGAAACGGTGAGATCCAGGCCCCAACTAGGAAGTACACATTTCAGGGCCAGTCACAAACTCTTAGAGCTGGAAGAAATCATTTGGTTTAACTCGCTTAATTTTCAGAGGAAGAAACTGAGGCCTACAAAGAAATAGATTTGCCTAAAATCATGCACAGAATTAGTTGGCAGAGCTAAAAATAGAGGCTGGCTCCTACTGTGTGAGCAGACTGGGACACTTTCTCTCGGGCAGTCTCCTCGGCCCCCTGCCGAAGAAAAAAAATCAAACATGTGGCTAGCTCCCTCTACCCAACAGGTCCAAGATCTGGGGTAATATGTAAAGTGCCAGGTCTAAGACACCTCTTCTTCTCCCCAAAATTCCTTTATGGAGAAGAGGGAAGGAAGCTTTCAGAGGCTCAGATTTCTAAGCAGAGACCCTTTGGGGAAAGCAAATCCCAACTGGCTGAAGGGAATGGCACCAGCTTCAAGACTAGGGAGTAATGTTTTTATATCACAGATCCCTTTGGGCAGTCTGGTGAAGCCTGTGGATTCCTTTCCAGAATGCTGCTTTTAAATGCATATAATAAAAAAATATAGAATTACAATGGAAACCAATTATACTGAAATAGTTAGACACACCAAGCTCATAGACCCCAGGTTAAGAACCCCTACTCTAGAAGTAATTCAGCTTGGCTGTTCAGAGAGCTGCCCTCAGGGGTTAGCAAGCTCTTTCATCCTGAGGGTATGGTGGAGAGAGAGGAAATTCTGAGGGAAATTGGACCTCAAGTACCAGCAAGAGAGAGGATTAAGTAAAAGTGAGAAAGAGAGTCAGAGACAGGAGAGATAATCATCGAGAAAAAGCAAGCTAGACATTGAGGAAAAGTAGGCAAAACACAGACACAGGTGGCCCTTCCTTGTGTATAGAATGTGTGCTTGGACAGGCTTTTCTGTAAGAGGGAGTAAGAACACTCAGCTATCCATATATTCTCTCACCCATACATAATGAGGTAGCTGGCTGGACTGAGAGGTAGCTAGTGCCTGTGAAGATGGAACCCATACCTCTGGCCTTATCATTAACCCCATGCTTGAACCTGATCTGGCAAGTGTCCTACCCTCTCTGGGTGTTTTCATCCCTGCCTACTGCAGGACGTGGGAGTTTTCCCAAATGTCAGTTGCTGCTCTACTTCACAAGCGGCAGGGTGGAAACCACTAGTATGTTTGTAGACACTGATACATACATAGACCATCCTTGTTTTCAAAAGAACTTTTCAAATGCAAAGTAAATCCTCTCCTACAAGTTGACATTCTGAGGTTAAAATTCAAGAAGATGGAATTCAGCTCTAACAAAGAGGGATACAGACTGACCCTCCTTCCCTCTACAGTCATATGCAGGGCTCCATTCTGTTCCCTGAATGCTAGCTGCTAGCAGAACCTATAGCCTCAGCCCCGTGCCCAGCCAGCTAGCATCAAAATTCAAGCCTTTATGAAAGCGTCTAGGAAAAAGGAGAGCTCTATTTTTATGTCTGTATCCCCAGTGCCCAGACTAGTACCTTACATACAGCACATACTTAATAACTTCTTGATGAACTGAAATGAAAAACTGCTTAATAAACGAATCAATGAATCATTCAGGATCACCTATCTCCCCTATCAGAGATACAACTCAAAGTATTTGTCACTCTGACAATGGATTAATACTGTCATCTTTGTATATGATAGAGGCAGCCTGGTGTGGTGTCAAGGGCACTAAATGAAGCCTTAGGAGTTCTGGGTTCTAATCCTTTCTCTGCCATTGTCTCCTTATGTGACCTCAGACAAGTCACTTTTCTCTAGACCTCAATTTCCTAATCTGTAAAATTGGATGAGCTGATACTGAAGGCCTACTCCATCTCATAGAGTCTATGATTCCATAAATAGTCCAGTATATGAGAAGAGAGGGTACTCAGCTCATAGCTAAGTAGAAGAGCATGCAGAGGATGACCTACTTGAAAGCGGCCTCAGCTATACCTTTATTCCCCAACCTACCCCCATTCATACTGTCCAGCCTCCTCAGTTCCACTTACCACCCAGCTTGTTGAGGACTCGGGTGACTGCATTAGAACAGCCCTCACAGGTCATGTCCACAGAGAACTCATGTTTCTGAAATCAACAAAGGAGAAAAAGGTTAACACAAAAAGGTCCCTAGGGAAGACACCTTTCACGTGACCAGGGAGCACGCAGGAGTCAGGAAACAGCCTGGACTGGGGAGCAAGAAATGTTGCTTTCTATTTAAAAACAGTCAGTTGACAAGCATTTATTAAGTACCTACTATGAGCCAGGCACTGCGCTAAATGCCAGAGAGACAAAGAAAGGCAAAAGCAGTCCCCACCTTCTGGAAGTTCCTAATCCAATGAGGAGACAACATGAAAACTAACATGTACAATCAAGATAGATACAGGATAAATTGGAAATAATCAATTAAGGATTAAGCAGGATAAAGAAAGTCTTCTTATACAAGGTGGGATTTTAGCTAGGAATTAAAAGAAGCCAGGAGATGGAGATGAGAAGGGAAAGTACTCTAGGCATGAGAAAAAAACAGTGCCAATGTCCAAAGTCAGGAGATGGACTGTATTGTGCAGGAACAGTGAAGAGGAATGACACTGAAGAGCTGGTGGGACAGGATGTAAGGTGTAAGAACACCGGAGAGGTAGGATGGGGCCCAGACTGTAAATGACAAATATCAAACAGAGCATTTTATATTTGATCCTAGAGGTGACAGGGAACCACTAATGAGTGTGTTATGTGGGGGTCATATCTGTGCTTTAAGATCACTTTGACAGCTGAGTGGAAGATGGACGGGAGTATGGAGAGAAATGAGGAAGGCAGACCCACCAGTAGTCTACTGCAGTAATAAAGGTGTGAGTGATGAGGGCCTGCAGTAGGGTGGAGGTAGAGGAGAGAACAGGGCATATGCTAAGAGATGAAATCAAGGGACTTGGCAACAGATCACATGGGGGGGTGAGAGAGAGACTGAGAAGTTGAAGATGACACCTAGGTTGAGAGCCTAGGTGACTGGAAGGATGCTCATGGGGGCAGGGACTATCTTTTACCTTTTTTTATATCTCCAGAGCTGAGCACTAGTGCATGGCACATAGGAGCTTAATAAATGCTTACTGCCTGACTGGTGTCGTTGACAGTAATAAGGAAGTTCTGAAGGGGGGAGGGTTTTTGGGGAAAGATAATGAGTTTGGAAGTCTTTCAAACTTGTTTGTCTTTATAATATTGCTGTTATTACATAAATTGTTCTCCTGGTTCTGCTCATTTCATACAATTCTTCTCATATTTCTCTGAAACCAGCCCTTTCATTATTTCTTACAGCACAGAAGTATTCCATCACTTTCATATACCACAATTTGTTCAGCCATTCCCCAACCGGTGGGCACCCCCTCAGTTTTCAATTCTTTACCACCACAAAGGAACTAATGACATATTATCAAGCTGTATGAAACAATGAATACGAGGAATTCAGAGAAGCATGGAAAGACTTGAAGAACTGATGCAAGTAATCAGAGTAAGGAAAATGATAGACATGACTACAATAATATAAACAAAACAACCACAAAGTGAAGATAAGCACTGTTACATGAGCAAATGCACTATGTATAAATACCACACACACACACACACACACAAGATCAAGAGCCATTACAGGTTAAACGGACAAGGCGTATGGAAAGTTTTCAGAAGGCTGCAAACGATAGACAGTTATCTTTTCCTTCTGAAGAGGTAGGAGACTATAGTTGCATAATATCACATATTTAATCACATGGAATTGTTGTGTCAACTGGTTTTAACTGTTTTTCTTTGTTACAAAGGTTGGTTTAGGTGGTCTCTGATGTCCCCTTCAGCTTCATTATCTAAAATTCGGCGATCTTAAAGGAAGGTGAGATTCTGGGCACTGAGTATATCTAGCAATGACTGGGATAAAGGGGTAAAAAAAAAAGTAGCCATTAACAAAATATTTTGAAAATTCTTATAAATTTAGTAACCATCAAAAAACACTCAAGAAAAACATAAAACAAGAAGTAAAATCTTAAATAAAACTCTCAGAATAGGGATTCCTAACCTGAGGCATATATACCCCCTAGAGGGTACAAGAAGCTTTTTAAGGAGGGATGGAGACCATTTGGTAAACAGCTATATTACCCTACAGAAATACTACAAAAGAAACAAAAATGTGGATTGTGTATCTGGGGTGAGGAGGCATAGATGGGGTAGGAAATGGTGGGAGTACTATAATGCATCTGAAAAATCTGAAAGAGACAGTTGAAGGAATAATTTATGCTGGTGACAACCAAATAAATGAGATTTTAATATGGAACCCTTTTTATATTGAGCTAGAAAAAAATCTGTAACAACTGCCCACTGAAAGATGAACAAACTGAATTCCAAAAGAACCAGAGACTCTGAATTGATTTACAAACAATGAAGTTACAAGCCTTTTGGTGTGCCCTTGGAGAAGCCTATCTCATTATTACCCAATGTGCTCACAAGGTCTGAATCACATTGATAACAACTCATCTCTGTGAATCAGGATTTTCAGTCCTGTTCTCAATCAAATCCAATGCAAGTTACAAACTGGAGGCTGAACATGATATTGGGTGTCTCTTTCAAAAACTATACTAAGAATAAAACTATCTGTTGACAGGAAAGAAGATCAAGAATCTTACCGATTAATTGGATTCTGTTCTGATAAATATTAAACAACTTTATGATACTGATAATGTGTACTGAATAAAATTTTCTTTATGAAAAATTAATCTATTTTATTTCTTATTCCATAAGTATGGTAAACTCTAGAACTCATTTTCTTTCACAATGAATAGGGAATGCAGGGGGCAAGCAGGCAGAAAGGTGACAAGCACTATAAAGCACTTACTACATGCCACGATTGTGCTATGTGCTGGGGATAAAAACGCAAGATAAAAACACAACCCCTTCTTTCAAACTTACATTCTAATGGGGAAGAGAATACATAAATGAGAGATGAAAAGGGGATGAAGAAGGTGGGAAGAAAGGCACCCATGGAATTATGGTGGTGAAATCAGAGAGTAGAAGCAAGACTGGAGGGGAATGAAGGCCTGGGCTTATCCCCAAAATGAAGACCCCAGAAGGAACTCATCAATGGGAAACAGGGGTCTAGCAGGGTGGAGGGACATTCCAGAGTGAGAAAAAAGGTGTGAAAACCAAGATATGCGGGGACTTAAAAAGACTTTGGCCTTGCCCAAATGAATCACCAAATTATAATCAGTCACCAAGTTACAGGACTGGTTCTGCTGATTTTCTTATGCATTAATATAGGTCTTATTTCTTTATTTGCTTCATCTTCACTTTAAACTATCACGGATACTTCAGCCACTCACCAATTACTGGCCATTTCGGTTGTCTCCTTTTTCCTTTTGGACTTACATCTAGGTCAGCTATGATTATTTCTATACAGGTAGCTTTTTATTTTTTATGATTTTGAGGAGACAAAATCCCAATTCCTTTTTGGAATATGCAATGGAATCAAAGTGTCCAAAGGCACAATGTGGGGATTTTCAAAACTGTCCGGTCTGCAAGAAAAACCACTGAGGCAGAGCTCTGAGCCAATGTCCCCTCTAAGGAAGCGACCCCACATCTTCACGGTCTGAGACGCCCCTTTTGTCTGGGCTTTAGTTTTATAGTGCTCAATACTCAGACAATACAGGTGCAGCAGGCCAAAAATACAGTCTGATTGGTGGACAGATCTGGCCCATGATCCTCCAGAAGGGTCTACACAAAATATAGAATCCCACTAGTTGACAAATGGTCTTGTGAACAGACCTTAAAAAAAAAGAAAAAGACCTATCATCACCTTCAAGGAGGCCCTACCAAACCGATAAGCAGGCTTACGGGGTTGTACTGATGAGTGGATGTCAAAATACTTATATGAGCCAATGGGCCAGTAGAAAGGCAGCCTGAAGTCCAGCAACCAGGGCCACTAATTAGCTCTGTGCTCACGGTCGTCTCCCCACGCTGAGCAACAGAGATGACAAGGGACAAAGGAACAACAAAAATGGCTGGAGGACTTTCCATGGAATTGAGTTAACCTCTGTCATAATGGGCTTGGACACCATAACAAGAGAAAAACAAGGGTAGAGGTCCTCTAGTTAGCTTTCCATGATTAAGCAAGTGAACTTACCAGCTGTAATTCACAGCTCTGAGGCCTACTATCAGAACTTGCCATCACTCTCCTTATGGAATCATATCAAACTGATTAATACCAATTGGAATAAAATAAGGGTCCAATAAATCATCTATCACATTAGGTATGATCCACTGTGTGCTTCTTATCATATGTGGCACTACTGCTCTCCAAAACATCTACAGCAGTTGACAAGTGGAGCCACTAGTGGAATGTAGGTACTATTTTCTCTTGATGAGCTTTCTAAAGCCTTCCCACTACAGAGTAGGCCTCTTGTCCTGCCTGAACTCAGCAGATGACATCCACTGATTTCAGCACCAGCCCTCCAAAGTGATAAGAAGCAGGGGAGAGGGAGAAAAGAGCTATTGTGAGACTAAAAAAGTTCCTCCTGAGTGTCTGCCACAGGGTGCCACCCACCAATCATTCAATAATGAACAAGGCACTGAGCACCTACTATGTGCCATGGACTGTGCCAGGCACTGGGGACACAAGTCCGAAGAATGAAACAATCCTAACTCTCGAAGGGTGAATCTAATGGGGCGACAACTAGTACATATAAAAACATACACAGCACCAATATAAAGCTAATAAATACACACACACACACACACACACACACACACACACAGTAGTTAACTACAAGGCAGTATGCAAGGGAGGTCGCTATCAGCTGTTCATGGAGGTGAGTGAGCTGTATCTTAAAATGGAAGAGAGGGCTTCTATGAGGTAGCAGTAAAGAGAGAATGCGTTTCCAGGCAGGTTTCAGGGCCAGAGCAGAGGCATGTGGACATGGGATGGAGTGTTGTGAGTGAGAAATACAGAAGACAGTTTTGGCTGGGTTGAGTGAGTGAGGGGCAGTAACGTCTAAAAAGGCTGGAAAGGTAGGATGGGACTTACCTTAAAAGTTAAACAGAGAAGTTTATATTTTATCCTA